CCAAAAAATTATCAATGAAACAAATAATTTTGGGGAATTTTGGGGAACTTTTTTTTGGGGAACTTCAGAAAGTTCCGCAAAATTCCCCAAAGTTCCCCAAAAAATTATCATGCCAAAAAATTATCATGCTGCAAGTATCAACAAGTAAGTTAAGATTATACCTTATAATAACATACATGTTAACATTAATGGGTATTAATGTATATTAGAGAAATTTTGAATAATTTTGAATGATTTTGAATAATTTTGGGGAATTTTGGGGAGTTTTGGGGAACTTTTTTTTGGGGAACTTCAGAAATCTTGGGGGACTTTCCCAAAGTTCCCCTTGGACCCCCCCCCCCCCCCCTTACTAACAGGTTACTAACAGATCACTAACAGATCACTAACAAGTTACTTACAGGTTACTAACAAGTTACTTACAGGTTACTAACAAGTTACCAATAGGTTGCTAACAGGGCACTTACAAGCTACAAACAAGTCACTAACAATTAACTAACAGTTAGTTACTAATGAGTTACAAACAGATTACTAACTAGCTACTAAAATACTAACAGGTCGTTAACAAGCTACTAAGAGGTCACTAACAAGTTACGTATAAATGCTTTATTCTCATCGCCTCTTCAGTTTTATTCATCGATTAGGTTAGTCCATAGATTTTATGCAGAATGTCAATTGTTCTACTTGCTCTGTAACTCTTTCATTTTGGTAAGTTTATCAAACACATTAATCACAAACTTTACAAAAAACGAACAATTCATTCACCGGATAGCTGTGCAATTCTGTCTTTGAGTGACTTTACAAGTTCCTCCAATAAAAGTACAAAATATAGATCGGGGAGATAATTTCAAGCATACAATATCCAACAGCATTTCATGCACTCTATCAAATCCAAACTTACCGAGCTGCTCAGCGAGAAGAGGCATGTGTTCGATAATAGCTAATCGAACCCTCCATTTAGGGTCCTCCGCGAGTTCCACAATAGCGGGGAGAAGTGACTGTGACAACTGGTGAATTCCTATCACCTGAACAATGCACATTTTATTATGGGAGGTTATTTTTTGCTGCTCGTGTTAGGATTTAAGGATGATATTTTCGATTTGATATTAGAGCTTTTAAATTTCCACGTTAGAATTGTAAATTGGATTTATTAAGAATGCTCTAGAGAAAGTTGTTTAACATGAAAGGAAGTCACGGTTACCTTATTGACACTGTCCAGATTGGAGATAATATTGAGTCTGACATCGGAATGCTCGTCCTTGAGTAGGATCAGGAATAGTGGGAGTAAGTGCTGGATTGTGTTATCTTTACCCATTATGGGGCTAAGTCCCATTATCACTGAGGCTAGGGCGGCTTTCACGTGCTGGTTCGTATCACATACTAATTCCTGAGAGGTGTATTGTTATGTTACCATGGTAAAACAACATTGGGTCTTATTAGTCAGTTAACGAGTCACGTGTTAATTCAAACAAGAAGATATCTGAATTAAAGATAGGGCAGAAAATAATTGTTAAAGAGAAATATACTGACTTTAACAGCGGGAAGAATATTAGGCATTATAACAGCTTCTTGGATATCATCCGGCAAGTTGGTACAGAATTCTGAAATAATAAAAATGAATGTATAATGTAGTTATAGTGAGAGGTAGTTTGCTTATATATAACTGAAATCAGCGAATGTATCAAACTTCAAGTAAAGTGTACAAATTTATTAAAACGAAGATCAATCCAAAACATGTGGTACACCGTAACAAACCTTTAATTTTGTTAGCAGCAGATGCCCTCACTTCAGCCTCTACATCTTTCAACAGACCAGAAAAGTGGAATACAAGATGATTTTTAGTAATAGTAGGGCCAACTGCTCTCTGTAGCTCGATAAACTTGTCTGCTATCATGAACCTCACTCTCCAGCTCTTATCTGACGCTGCACTCCTAAGAAGTTAACTGTTAGTGACCAGAGACGTTTGGTGATATCACTAAATAGTTTCTTAGCAGGTTTAGAAAACTAGTCTAGTACTGTCATCTTGGTTGAAAATATTACAATTGAAAAAAAATAACCAAAACATGGTTTCTACGCGACTCTACCAAGCTGGCTATGATTCCCACCAACAAGTAGTGAGTAGAATGTTACCAAAGTTTCAACATACCTGAACATGGGTAAGAGAAGGGTCTCAATATCACTCTCTGTAAGTAGACCAGCTATCGTTATTCCTGCTTCTACTGCTAACAGTCTGACACTGTCCTGAGAAAACTTTGAGGGCGTTAACAACAAATTATCTAGAAAGAGGTATTAAATCATCACACGATGGTTAGGCGTTTAATAGGATAACGAAAGTTTCAAAATCAAATAAACTTGTGCTACATAAGCAATAAGCATTCTCTTGGAAGTTTATGGTAAGAAAGTATAGCTTCGTTTTAAACAATTGTTATATACCCTATATAGGAATATGTTAATTGTTAGTGTTACCTGTTCATCGTTAGCTAGAGAGTTGAATAGTGGAATTACTTCTCCTTTTAAATGTTCCATCTCGACTGCTTTAGCGAACTCCTGGTGGATAATTTAAATATAACTTGTGCGTTCAGGCCGTTCACTCGCTACATAACTCAGATGTAATGTAGCTCTGATATTGCTGAGTCAACGGTAGGTAATGCTAAACACTGTCCAATTGAAGAAAGAAAGTAAAGATTATTGCAGTCACAGTAATCTTAACAAGAAAAAAATGTATCGTGGGATGTTTGGCAGCACCCACAATCCACATCATTAAGTGACAATAAGGTACTAAAACTCACCCCTATTTTACTGGCAGCAGCTCGTCTCACCATTGGAGTATCGTCAGTACACAGACACTTAAACATCCTGTAGAAATACAATTTTAGGACAAGAGTTTTCAGTTTTACTTTGTAATTAGTTGTATAACTCATGATAAATTTCAAGATATATTTTGATAATTTATAAAACTAGAGTACTACTCACATTCTGAGTTCAGTTTTCAGTGCCACACTGACATGAGGGTAACACGCTGCGTACAGACCACAGGCAGAGGTACGGGACGTGAACCAGTCACCTGTAACCATGGTAATATTATATCTAAAATAAAATCCAGTATATATAGAAGAAAGCTAGAGCATACAATTAACATATTAGCATATAATTAATTAGTTAGGTTAGTTTTTACCTTGAGATAATCGTTTAACAAGTGGTGCAAAGTGTTTCTCAATGTCAGCAGGTGAGTGATCAACAGCTATCATTCTCAGTGACTCTGTAGCCTGAACATTAACATGATTAAATTCACCTTTACCATACAATATTTAATAAAGTATTATATTACTAACAGTGCTACTACCAAGCTAAGTATAACTTAGTTGACAATCACTTAGCAATCTGTACTTTGAGTGCGTGGTGGAAAGTTGCAAGGTGATTGCTCATAATTTGCGGTAAGAGATGTACGCGGTACCATTTTAGAACATTTCACCATCCGTTACCACCCTACGCGCGTGGGGTGGACTCCTGGGGTGGACTTTTATTCAGCGCGTATTTTGTAGCCTGTTCAACTTGACGTTTTGATTCGTTACTATCTCAATGTCACAGATACACAGAATGTGAGGTGATCATCTTAAAGAGAAACGTCTCAGCTTTCACCTGGTGTAAAGTTTATCTTTGTACTCAAAATATAGCTCGCTCAGTGTGCAATAGAAGTTGACAATACAATAACCACGTCTGCGACCGGTCGTCAGACACCGGAGTGTTGCACAAAATTGGGTCCCTAAATTAAAATTCTATGACACAGTTACCATGCAGAAATGTCTAGGGAAACATTTGGTGAAAGTTTCAAATCTCTACTATAAAAATAGCGATAGTTATTGAAGATAAACCGTGAGAAACTCCCTCTTGTCGAGATCAACGCTCTAGGAACCTCCCTTCTGTACCACGTGACAACGATTTGAGCGTCACGTGGCCGTCACGTGACAAAAGTGCGCGCATCGGATGGAGCAGTCTCGTGGGAAATCCTGATTGCCTGATCGATCTCGTGGGAAATCCTGATTGCTACGGAAAGGGCTGACAACCACAGTTATTTCCCTTCCTCAATTTTCCAGTTCACTTGCTCAGTGCTGTCAGTTGGTTTTTGTTTGCCCTGCTATATAAACTTCACTCCGTCATAATCCCCTACTCTCCTATCCAATGAACTGTTTCTGTTACAGCTGCCATTCTGTTGACTGGACCCTAACTTAGTCTTATCATTTTCACTTGATAACTTTATCCGTGTGCACTTTCTCGAAACTCAACTTATCTTTGTCAAGACTCAGCTAATCTCAGAACTAAATGTTGCCTTAACAGACTTACTTGTCACTGCACTGGGCCTTCCTTTAAATGCAAATATCATATGAGCAGCTGATCGATTTATTGCTTGAACTGTGCATCCTTTTTAAAAATAAATAAGGTCAATTTTACTATCGTGAAACTTAGTCACTGAAGACAACGCAATCTGGCTGTGCCGGTTCCCCTCTGCCTAGATCACTTAGAATATCCATAGTTAGCAATACTTTTATCGTTTAATGCAGCGATATAGCCAGTTATCAATGCTACATAGTAGATTTTAGCCTGTTCCAATCATTCTTATATCGCGTTAATGGAATTTATGAAATTGCCTACCGTTCAAATCGCTCTCTGTTGTTAGCACCACACTGATTAACTACGATGTTCCAATTTTTTAGAATTATGTCCGACATAATTCTAATTTTTGCTGTTACAGCAGATAGTTATGGTGTAATGGCACGCAGGAATAAGTCATCCCTGTCCTCCAAAAAGCCCATGAAAAGGTATTTGGTAAGCTATGTCTTTTCCAATATCAAATCCAATGTATCACAATCTGTGGACTTTCTACTCAAAAACTAGATTGATTAATTGATAATTCATTGCTGATTGTTCACGCGCCCTGTATGGAAGTATATAAATGGTAATCCGCATACTCCAGGAAGAATTGAAGCGATCTCAAAAGAAAAGAAGGGAATCTGGATCCTTCGTCGGATCGTCAAAGAGCTTAGAGGGGAGCTCTACGCTTCACTGGCCATGCAAAGCAGGGAGAGTGACGGAGGCGGAGGCACTGCTGGCTGCTGGAACGGACATTAACAAGCTGGACAGAACGCAGTTTAACCCTTTCATGGACGCGATCAACTCAGGTAAATCATTCGACCGCCTTAACAATATGGGTTTATTGGTAATAGTAGCAAGAGGTTTTAGTCATGCGTTTGATTACAGCACAGTGTGAAACCCTGAAGCATACGTCGAGCTCTAAACTCTGTTTTGTCTAATAATCAATTATTTGAATATTGAAGGATTAAATTTGGTAACTTGATGATCACACAATTAACAGGACAGGTCGACTGTGCTAGATGGCTGCTGAGGCAAGACGGTTTAAAGCTTCAGACCGAGATATGGTCGTTTTGTAGGGAGAGGGTGCTAGAGTCATTGCTAACAGCTTAACAGAAGGTAAAATCCTGAACTTTTGTTCATTGATTAAAAATCACCATTCAGACATACAATCGTTCAGATGTAAAAATTATTTATTCACTATTTTGGATTACATTTAGTTACAGGACTAACATGCGACATCCGTCGTTGACCTTTGTCTTTAATTCAACAAGGTAGGGAGAGCGATCCATGGCTGTCCCGATAGACCCACTCAGACTCCTGCCGGAAGATACTCCTCCGGTTGATCCAGATGAGACAGTTCTAGCAGATGATCAGTTACAGACTGAAGAACATATCCCACAGATCAATGCGTCAACATCTGCAAATGAAGGTACTTCAATCTGCTCTTCTTGTATATGTCTTTGTGCCTGCGTCTGTGATTGTACTGAAGTGTACTCTGTGTGTTTGTGTCTGTGTCTGTCTTTGTATCGTGTGTGTGTCTCTGATTGTACTGCGTGTGTCTGTAATTGTAATGTAGTGCACTGAAGTGAACTATGTGTGTTTATGTGTGTGTGTCTGTGTGTGTCTGTGTGTACTGTGTCTGTCTGTGTGTCCGTCTGTGTCTGTGTGTGTCTGTGTTTATGCGTGTGTCTATGTCTGTATGTGTTTGTGGGTGTGTGTCTGTGTGTCCTTGTCTGTGTGTAACTGTGTCTGTCTGTGTGTCTGTCTGTGTGTCTGTCTGTGTGTCCGTCTGTGTCTGTGTTTATGCCTGTATGCCTGTATGTCTGTGTCTCTGTGTGTGTGTGTCTATGTCTGTATGTGTTTGTGGGTGTGTGTATCTGTCTGTCTGTGTGTGTGTGTGTGTGTGTGTGTGTGTGTGTGTGTGTGTGTGTGTGTGTGTGTGTGTGTGTGTGTGTTCTTTCATAGAAGTTGTTATTTCCAAGATACGAAGTTCGAAAAGCTAGCATTTAGTAATAGACGAATTTTGCAGCTGATATCAGAATCGACATGATGATGGTACTACACGAGATGCTCATGGAAAAGGTCTCCGTTTGCTTTCCTCCTCCCACGAGCAGTACAAAGTGTGGGTTCAACTTTAATCTGATAGAAGATATCGTATGCGGAACCCAAGCCCGGCCATGTCTGTACATAATAACGAAAGAAACCGGTAAGTTTCTAATCATGTAAATGTTCGGCCGAACGTTTGCATTCATTTTAGACTAGTGACGAAAATCAACAATCGTTTGCCAGTTTGGTTTGCAAAATCGACAAAAAATAGTCCATTCCCCATGGCCATGATATTAGAATTCTGCCCGTTGAAATCGGCCACTCTGATTTTTATCATTGAACTTCACATTGATGACATGTTCATTCTCTACAGGTTATGCTGCGAGGGCGTTTACCTCGATAGATGTTGAAAATGCCCACAGCATTATAAATCATTTGGACCGCCGAGGGGTCCAAAACTCCTCAATCGAAGAGCTTAGTAGACATGCCAGCAACCTACAGAGACTTCAAATTCTCAGGAAACCTCTCTAGGACGGTAATACATTAACTTGTTTAGTTAATAAGTTTAATAAGTAGATTTTGAGTGATGATTACTGAATACAGATATCGAGCCTCGAGGTACCATAAAAAGGGTATATAAACTTATCACTTATGCTTATATGCTTATACTATCAATGAATATCAAATCGCCTTCTCTAGTTATCAAACCCAACATAAGTTAAATCTCTGCCTACAAGGACTATTTGATATTTACAACAGACCGAGTGAATGTCTCAATCTTTTCAGGAAGCTTTATACTCCGACATCCACAATTTACCACGCCCCTGAGATCGACAAAGGTCTTTCTGATAGATTGACTTCCAGCCAATTCGATCTATCGAAGCCGAGTGGGAAGAACAAAGAACTGAAACCCCATGGTCGCAACGATGCTCCTCGCGGACAAGGGAGAGTTAGGGCCATCGGTGGTCACAAGACTGGATAATATTTATTTTTTAAGCGTTGAGGTTGTCACGAAAGCGTACTGTAACGGGACTATCAGATTTGAGTGATTTGATTTTGTGATTTGCAGTTCACGTGATTTTATTGTGATTTTAGACTGTAAAAACTATAAAGGTTCAAGTTGAACTATCGTCGCCATGATTATGTATTTTGGAACTGTTCACGTTGAAATTGCTTCGTTAATCAGCAGTCTTCCTTGGTTACTTTCTACTGTGTAATGCAGCTACGATCAACGATACTTAGCTAGTACATTCATAGTAACACTAACTGCACTGAGAAGAGTAAAAAATTTGAGCTTTGACGGAATAACATTTCCTTGTTTTTAGATACGGTTACTACTCTAGTGAGGGGTTCATAGCTGATCATTAAGGTCTTACTCACAATAATTTGTGCTCTGATATTGGCCGTACTGACGGCTGTTGAAAAAGCCACTCCGTCAGATGCGCGCCGCAAGAGTCCACCCCTGTAGACCCCACTACGTACAAAATTTGAAATTTTCCCAAAAACTTCTGCTAGTTTGTTTTCAATAACTTTTGCAATATTTACAGTAGACCCTTCAAATTTTCACCAAATGTTACTCCAGACATTTCTGCATGGTAACTGTGTCATAGAATTTTAATTTAGGGACCCAATTTTGTGCAACACTCCGGTATCTGACGACCGGTCGCAGACGTGGTTATTGTATTGTCAACTTCTATTGCACACTGAGCGAGCTATATTTTGAGTACAAAGATAAACTTTACACCAGGTGAAAGCTAAGACGTTTCTCTTTAAGATGATCACCTCACATTCTGTGTATCTGTGACATTGAGATAGTAACGAATCAAAACGTCAAGTTGAACAGGCTACAAAATACGCGCTGAATAAAAGTCCACCCCAGGAGTCCACCCCACGCGCGTAGGGTGGTTACAATTAATTAAAATAATTAGACTATACCCAAAATAAGTGCGTGACAGCATGCTGACTACTACACATTTTGTATGATATTACGCGCATATTTAAGAGTTGTGGACGCTAGCAGCAGTGCCGCGCGTAACGCGCGATAAGAAATCTTAGTTTTATCTTGCCGCTTACAGCGACGAAAATCTAAATTAGGGTTATCGAGACGTCATAACTTTTAAGGCGGGGCACTGCATCTTGAAAGCTTTTGATTGTCTAACTGATTACTGATGGAATGTTCTAAACAATCGACGCGGTCGTTTCAACAATAACCACATTAATACGATATTTAATCATGACAAAAGTGTAATATAATAATTATACTGTCATGACGTCATGACGTAACCTATGAGAACACTACACACCTTCTCTCTAACGACTGTTTCTTCTACTGTGGCTAAATTCTCAAGGGGAGGCTGAAATAATAACAAATATTAGCAGAATATATCCGTACTTCTATTTTATTTTTACCTGGTAGCAAAAGAATGGGATGTTTATGCTGATTTAATTTTCAATAGCCCAATTTTTATTGAAAGGATCTTCTACTTTTGTGAAGTAAATGCTTGCTGAAGTTAAACTGCTTTTATAAAACCAACATCTTGGTGAGGTTATTAACTTAAATCGAGATATCGTACTATGTACAGTAACTTACCAACAAACAGCTTGCAAATTCTGGACCACCGACCAAAGGAATGAAGTTTCCTAACTGAAATAGTTTAACGTAAATAGCTGCTCATGCTTAACACATGAAAGTATGTGTTAATAAGTACAGCTGGTTTGTTTTGACGTAACAGTAATTAGTCATAAGTCACGTGACACTGATTAGTCAGTATGATTGGTCGATACTATTGGCTGACTGATCGGTTAATCGCTATCAGGTGTCAAAATCCACTAACTAGGGGGGGGGGGGGGGGGGGGATCATGTTATTTTTTGTCCGTTTTTGTCCGTTAATTTTTGTCCGTTTTGAAAATATAGCTGCCAAACGGACAAAAACGGACAAAAACGGACAAAAATTGTAACTTTTGATTTAAATTTTCTCCACAATTTGTAACAGGCTATCTGCAGAAATGGGTAGCCCGGTTAATGACCATGGTCCTTTCTCAAACTTTTAATCTTCAATTAGGCACAAAGAATAGTCTACACATTTTTTAATAACATAAAAAGGGATGAAAAGTTTTATTACTGGAGAGTAAAACTTTGTTAAACACAAAGATTCTTGAGCACATTTTGAGTCAGACTCAAATGCGCTTAAAAACATTTTAGTATATAACAATAAATTATGTTAACAATAACACCAACAATAATTATAAATTGAACAAATTATTAAGAGATGAAAGAGAGGAAAAGGAGGAGGGGGGACTGAGGAGGGAGAGGAGGGGGGCTGAGGAGGAGTGAGACTGAGAAGGAGAACTGAGGAGGAGGAATGAATAGGAGGAGGAGAAGAAGGACTCAAAAGGAGGAGGACCCAAGAGGAGGAGGACCCAAGAGGAGGAGGACCCAGGAAAAGGCCCCATGAGGAGGACTGGGGAGGAGGAGGACCGATGAGGACTGATGAGGACTGATAAAGAGGACTAAGGACGAGGAGGAGGAGAAGGAGGAGAAGGACTGAGGAGTGAGGAGGAGGACTGATGAGGAGAAGGAAGTGTATGAGGAGGATGAGGAGGAGAAAGGAGATAAAGGATGAGGATAAGGAGGACTGAGGAGGAGGACTGGTGAAGAGGACTGATGAGGAGGAGGACTGAGAAGGGGAGGACTTAGGAGGAAGAGGAGGGGAGGACTTGGGAGGAAGAGGAGGATTGAGCAGGAGGAGGACTGAGGAGCAGAAGGAGGAAGAAGACTGAGGAGGATCAGGAGGACCCAGGAAGAGGAGGAAGAGGAGGAGGACTGAGGAGGAGAAGGAGAACCCAAGAGGAGGAACCAGGAAGAAGAGGAGGAGGAGGACTGAGAAGGAGGAGTGAGACTGAGAAGGAGAACTGAGGAGGAGGAATGAATAGGAGGAGGAGGAGAAGAAGGACTCAAGAGGAGGACTGAGGAGGAGGAGGACTAAGGAGAAGGATGAGGAGGAGGACCCAAGAGGAGGAGGACCCAAGAGGAGGAGGACCCAGGAGGAGGACCCAGGAAAAGGCCCCAAAAGGAGGACTGGGGAGGAGGAGGACTGATGAGGACTGATGAGGACTGATAAAGAGGACTAAGGACGAGGAGGAGGAGGAGGAGGAGGAGGAGGAGAAGGAGTGAGCAGTGAGGAGGAGGACTGATGAGGAGGATGTGTATGAGGAGGATGAGGAGGAGAAAGGAGATGAAGGAAGGAGATGAAGGATGAGGATAAGGAGGACTGAGGAGGAGGACTGGTGAAGAGGACTGATGAGGAGGAGGACTGAGAATGGGAGGACTTAGGAGGACTGAGGAGGGGAGGACTTAGGAGGAAGAGGAGGATTGAGGAGGAGGAGGACTGAGGAGTAGAAGGAGAAAGAAGACTGAGGAGGATCAGGAGGACCCAGGAGGAGGAGGAAGAGGAGGAGGACTGAGGAGGAGAAGGAGGACCCAGGAGGAGGAACCAGGAAGAAGAGGAGAAGGAGGACTGAGAAGGAGGAGTGAGACTGAGAAGGAGAACTGAGGAGGAGGAATGAATAGGAGGAGGAGGAGAAGAAGGACTCAAGAGGAGGACTGAGGAGGAGGAGGACTAAGGAGAAGGATGAGGAGGAGGACCCAAGAGGAGGAGGACCCAAGAGGAGGAGGACCCAGGAGGAGGACCCAGGAAAAGGCCCCAAAAGGAGGACTGGGGAGGAGGAGGACTGATGAGGACTGATGAGGACTGATAAAGAGGACTAAGGACGAGGAGGAGGAGGAGGAGGAGGAGGAGAAGGAGTGAGCAGTGAGGAGGAGGACTGATGAGGAGGAGGTGTATGAGGAGGATGAGGAGGAGAAAGGAGATGAAGGAAGGAGATGAAGGATGAGGATAAGGAGGACTGAGGAGGAGGACTGGTGAAGAGGACTGATGAGGAGGAGGACTGAGAATGGGAGGACTTAGGAGGACTGAGGAGGGGAGGACTTAGGAGGAAGAGGAGGATTGAGGAGGAGGAGGACTGAGGAGTAGAAGGAGAAAGAAGACTGAGGAGGATCAGGAGGACCCAGGAGGAGGAGGAAGAGGAGGAGGACTGAGGAGGAGAAGGAGGACCCAGGAGGAGGAACCAGGAAGAAGAGGAGAAGGAGGACTGAGAAGGAGAAGGAGGACTGATGAGGAGGATGAGGATGAGGAGGAGGGTGACTGGGGAAAGGATTGAGGAGGAGGAAGACTGAGGAGGAGGAAGGGGAGAAGGACTGAGGAGGAGAAGGACTGAGGAGAAGGAAGAGGAGGAGGACTGAGGAGGAGGACCCAGGAGGAGGAGGACACAGGAAAAGGCCCCAGGAGGAGGAGGATGACTTGGGAGGAGGAGGACTGATGAGGACTGATGAGGAGGAGAAGTAAGTGGATGAAGAGGATGAGGAGGACTGAGGAGGAGGACTGGTGAGCAGAAGGAGGAGGACCCAGGAGGAGAAGGAGGAGGAGGAGGATAACTGAGGAGGATGAGAAGGACTGAGGAGGAGAAGAGGGATCCAGGAGGAGAACCCAGGAGGAGGAGGAGGACTGAGGAGGAGGACTAAGGAGAAGGAGGACTGATGAGGAGGATGAGGAGGAGGGTGACTGGGGAAAGGACTGAGAAGGACTGAGGAGGAGAATGCGGACTGAGGAGGAGGAACCAGGAAAAGGAGGAGGAGGAGGACTGAAGAGGAGGACTGAGAAGGCGAAGGAGGACTGATGAGGAGGATGAGGATGAGGAGGAGGGTGACTGGGGGAGGACTGAGGAATATGAGGAAGACTGAGGAGGAGGAGGAAGAGGAGAAGGACTGAGGAGGAGAAGGACTGAGGAGGATGACTGAGGAGGAGGACTGAGGAGGAGGAGGAGGACTGAGAAGGAGGAGGACTGAGGAGGAGGAGGACTGAGGAGGAGGAGGAGGAGGAGGAGGAGGAGGAGGAGTGAATAGGAGGAGGAGGGGGACTGGGCAGGACTGAGGAGGAGGACTGAGGAAAAGGATGAGGAGGAGGACTGAGAAGGAGGACTGAGCTGAGGAGGAGAACTGAGGACTGAGGAGGAATAGGAGGAGGATGAAGAGGAGGTGGACCCAAGAGGAGGAGGTCCCAGGAGGAGGACCCAGGAGAAGGACTCAGGAGGAGTAGGAGGATGACTGAGGAAGACTGAGGAGG